TTACAAGATCTTTGGGAGGGACCTTGGTATTTAGGTGGAGACTTTAACGTCWTCAGACTTTTTAATGAAACCAATAACCCCCAACATTTTGTTACAACTACCATGCGGAAATTCAATGAGTTCATTAGTGCTTATGAGTTAAAGGAGATCCCCATGATGAAAGCTACTTTCACTTGGTCAAATTTAGGTGGAGACTTTAATGTCATCAGATTTTTTAATGAAACCAATAACCCCCAACATTTTGTTACAACTACCATGAGGAAATTCAATGAGTTCATTAGTGCTTATGAGTTAAAGGAGATCCCCATGATGAAAGCTACTTTCACTTGGTCAAATTTCTAGGAAATCCTTTTTGTTCTAAATTGGATAGGTTTCTTTTCAATGAAGGGTGGGAGAACCATTGGAGGAATTTGATGACTAAAGCCCTACCAAGAGTTACTTTTGATCACTAAAGTCTTCTAGGAATGCACCAAGACCCTTCAGATTTGAGAATATGTGGTAAACACATCTGGACTTTATACACAAGGTTAAGGAGTGGTGGAATGAAGAATTGGGAGGGGTGGAATGGAAGAGAGTCAAATTCCATAAGAAATTTAAAGGACTTGGAACCAAATTAAAAGAATGGAATAAAGACCAGTTTGGGATATTAGAGGAGAAAAAAACCCAATTGTCCCAAATTAAAGAACTAGATGAAAAGGAGGCTCAAAGATCTGAGTGAACAAGAGAGAGAAGTGATATAGAAACCTAAAAATGATTTGKAAGAAGTCATTCTAACAGAGGAGATTTCCTCGAAGTAGAAATCAAGACACAAATGGATCAATGATGGGGATGCAAATACTAAATTCATTCATGCTTTGGCCAATAGGAGGAGAAAAGGTTATGTTGGTAATTAGAGGTCAACGGGGAAGACGTCACTTCCCAAGATGTGAAAACAATAATCTTTGAGTATTTCAAATCAATCTGTAGTGAAACAGTGGACCAGACCTGATATGTTTACTTGTGGTCCCATAAGTTCAGTTATTTTTGTTGCTCTTTCTACATTATGCTTACTTTCTTGCACTGTTATAGGCAGCAGGGCATTTCTGTCCTTTTACCTCATGTTATGTTAAACACATATACTTAGGGTGGCAGCATCATAACATTCTGCCCCCGTTCCTCTTCTATTCTTCTTCTCTCTTCTTCTCTTTTGGTGGAGTTCAAAGCTTGCCCAAGACACTTTTATTCTTGGAGATTGCCCAGCAGTCAGAAAGAATCAGAGAAACTTAGTTTGAGTAAGATTTAGGGCTTAAAGCTCAGATTGAAGGTGCCGTCCAGAAGTTTCTGGGTAGTTTTTCAGCTTTCCTGAAGTTTTGCAACAAGAGGTAGGGTTCTTTGAATCTCTGTGAGTGGCTGCTCTTTTTCAACCTTCTCCAAGACTGTTTTCTAGGGTTTCTTTAAAAAAACAAAACAATAAATCTACTGGGTTGTTGTCCCTATTCTCAGTTTTGGGGGTTTTTTGTATTCAAAAGGGGAGCCAATTGTGTTCTTTTTCTTCTCTTGTTGAGTCCATCATGGAGTTCTTTGGGACTGAACAGAAATCTTCTCGAGAAGGTGATGGAGGAGCTGTTAGTATGACTGATAATAACCCTTTTCAGATTACCACAAATAGGTTTGATGGTTCAAACAATTAGGAGTGGGCTCAATCTGCCATGGTGGCCATTGGAGGAAGGGGAAAGTTAGGTTATGTGACTGGAGACACTATGGAACCAGCCAAGGAAGACCCTTCTTATGCAAAATGGATTCAACAAAATTATCTTGTGATGACATGGTTGTGCAACTCGATGCAGCCCCATATTAGCAAAAATTACCTGGGCAAAGACAGCCAAGGATATTTGGGATAATATGAAATAGGTTTACTCACAGCCACTTGATGTGGCTAGGGCTTATGAGTTGATAACTGAAGTGAACAATCTGAAGTAGGGGGAGAAACCTGTACCGACTTATTTCTGTACTATGAAATCCCTATGGCATGAGATAGATCACCTTGAAACAATTGAGTGGGAGAGCAGTAAGGATGCAACAACTTATAATAAAAGTTGGTTGAGAGAAATAAAGTTTTTGAGTTTCTTGYGGGCCTAAATTCTGATTTTGACATTGTTAGACAACAACTTCTCACTAAGAAAAACGTTACCTTGTCCAAAAGCCTACTCCCTAAAGCACGGTGACGAGAGTAGGAGGAAGGTTATGCTACAAAATTCTCAAATGGAAGTAGCATTAGCAACTGCAAGACAGAAGCATGGTGGTAAGAGGGAGAAAGAGATGAAGAGTGAAGGAAAGAAATTGGTGTTTTGTGAGTATTGCAAGAAACCCAAGAACACAAAACTGACAAAAGACACTTGTTGGAAGCTCCACCCTAATCTTGTACCAGAAAGACTCAAGAATAAGAAGGGAAATGCAAATGCAGCTATCACATCTGATGGTTCTTCCCTCCCTGGCCTCGTTCTACTTCTTTAGAGGCCTTAGCTGCAGTCAGGGCAGCTTTGGCACAATTGGAGAATGAAGTTGGACTTACAGGATCATCTCAGCCTACCTCTGCCACCACTGCACCTCCTTCCTCTACATCAGCTTTTCCCCACTCAGGTACAAAAGCCACTGCTTTCCATACCTCAACTCCAGGTAACACTAATCCTACTTGGATTATAGACTCGAGTGAATCAGATCATATGACCAGCTTGTCTTCATTATTCACTTCATATAATTTATCTTCAGGCAAAGATAAAGTATCTTGGACCCCTGATCCATATACAACGCTCCTAGTTTCTCCCGATATTTCTTTTCTTGGCTCAAGAGTTTTATGTACTTCTAACTGCATGACTTTATAAGCTTCTTGGACTGATCCTCCTTCATAACTGGGCCCACCTTTCAGTTCACTTCTGAATGATTTACAACTCCTAGGCCCTCTATTATAATCCCGCTTACTATTTAAACATTTCCGGCCTAAGAATTCGCCCTCAATTATGTCCACATGCTCCCCAAGTGGATCACGTGTAGATCCATTGAAAACCGACCCAGCCAGTTGTAAAGGCTTTTCTTTCTCACGATACACCTGTTTGTCTTCTTCTTCTCCCTTTACAATCTCCTTGATCCCGATATTGTCAAAACGATTCAATCTCGATTTTTTAAAACCCAACATCCCTTCGCTCTCTGCCTTCTCCCCGACGGCTTCCAATCTTCTTGTGCCATGTGGAGTCCACCGAACCTTCCTGCAACTTCAACGTCTTGCCTCCCATACCACAGAAACGCTTCAGCTTCCGATGCCACCAAGAGCTTAAACCATCTCCCTTCAGCAAAGATATCGATTGTGTGAGGAATCCTCTCCAGCTTGGTTTCTAATACATGTTTTCCTAGGTTAATTATTAGGCCAGACCAGACCAGACCAGATGCACTTATCTGAGTCCATGACAGTCTACAAGTCTATGCTCTTACACCTTCAACCAAAGTTCATCTTGAAGATATCAAAATCTTCAATTGTTCAAGTCTATCCAGCAGCAGGATACACTCATCCATCTCTCAATCCAGTAGTAGCCTTCTAAACTTAGGATGCCAAACCAGCTGCTGACCTCTCATTTCATAAAATTGGTTAATTCTAATATCATGATCAGCAAGACTGTAAAGCCTCATACATAGATAGCATAATTTTCCAACTCCACACCATTCATCCTCCCAAATCCTTATTCTAGCTCCATCCCCCATAAAAGGAGGTCCAATGGTACATTTTGTTTGCTGATGACATTATCTTAATTGATGAAACTAATAAAGGRTTAAATGCAAAATTAACTTTATGGACAAATATCTTAGTGAAGGATCGTAAGAAGAATGTTAATGGAGTTGGAAAGGATTAATGAAAGCTCTAAACAAGTAAAAGATTGTAAGAAGAATCTTAATGCATTGTAAAATCCATGAACAGCATCAAGTTATCCCAGTTTCGATGGTGTTTTCCAGGATGAAGGGCGGTGTTTTTGGGTTGGAGCCTACCAAAAGAAAGTCAAAAAAGCGTCGAAAGTTTTAATGAGGCTCTGAATTTTGACTCTAAAGTAGATGTTTAACTTGGAATAGTTTCAATTAGCAGGAGGTGGTGGTTGAATTCTTTGTTGATTTGAGAGTTGGTGAGGTAGTGGTGTTGCAATAAAAATGATGTTTAGGTTGTTGGGGTTTTCGGTGATCTTTCATGGATTTGGGAGGAAACTTGGTTTCAAAAAGATTTAACTAGAGTCGGTGTTGATTTTGGGGTGGGTTCTTTTTGCACTGTTTAAAGATAATTTTGTATCAGGGGTTTTATTTGGTTTCTTGGGAGTTGTTGGTGAGGTATTGTTTAGAATTTAATTTTGGTGGTGGTGCCAGGGTGGCAGTGTGTGTGTGGATAATTTTTGTTTTGTTTCTTCTCTCAGATGACTTCTTGTCACCTTCCTTGTACTCTTCTTTTTCTTTTAATAAAATTTTTATTTTATCTTAAAATAAATACCTTAGAAGCAATAGGTTTTAAAATAAGTAGGTGTAAACTTAAAATAAATAGGACAGGTATGCAAATATGGAGCAGAGTGTTGGGCAATCGAGAAACATGTCCAAAAAATGAGTTTGGCAGAAGAAATATGTATGCTAAGATGGAAGARCGGAAAAGCTAGAAAGGATAGGATCAGAAATGAAATCATTCAAAGGAACCCATGAGTAGCTCCAAGAGGTGATAAAATGAGAGAAAGTAGACTAAGATGGTTTGTTTGTGTGCATAGAAGACCTTTGACATCACCCATAAGAATTGATCTATCTGTGTGGTTACTATTTGCAAGTTACTAAAAGTACTGATCAAATTTCACCATAAGGAGATTGTTCAAGCATAGACACTATAACATTATCTCATTTCAAACAAATGCATATATCCATGTTAAAAAAAAAAAAAAGCAGTTATTTCTTTATACCCTATATGATACAGAAAGGCATAAGTGTAAAGAAAAGATATAGTTTACCTTTGAATAAAGGTGTGTAGTTGTTATTGGATATGATGACCAGAAATGCTTTAGTAACTCCTGAATAGATGTCCAATGCTGAAAACAACAACAGCTGTCTTAACATTAAAAAGAAAATGATGGGCTCAAAGATTTAAATTAATAAAAAAAGCAAGAGGTTAATCTAAGCCCCTGATGTCATGAAAGATATACTGATAGAACCCACTCACATGCAGGAGTTCCTCTTTAGTTTTTCTTGGCAGCCTATCAAGGACACTTTCTTGAGGGTTCTTTCCAACATGATGCTTAGTACTTGAGAGATGTTGTGTCAATGCATTAAGAACCTAGATCATATGATAGAAGTCAATACACTATCTTGCCCCCGAGTGAATTTATGTTTCTTCTTGGAGAGGAATCTGCCCCTAACTCCTAAGATGTCAAAACTTAAGAATAAAAATTGCACTATAGACACTTGTACCTTTAAAGCAACGTCAGGTTTAACTACAGGATGATTCAGACCAGTTGCCTTCATCTCAGAAATGAGATCCCTCAATGAACCATATGCCTCCTCTGTGCTGAGGCTGTAATTGATTGGCTTCATTCCACCTATTGTATCCCCTAAAGCTTGAAGTGCATTAGCTTGTTGAGAATCAAAATACTCTCGAGGGTCCTGGCAGATGGAACTTGGTTAAGACATCCATAAGCTGATAAAATTGAAAGTGATTCATGAGATAAGAGCTGCACCTTTATGCAAAGAGGTGCAAATGGTAGGCCACGAGAAGACTGAAGATCTTCAATCCCAGCCATCTGAGATAACCTTTCTAACCGCTTCTCGTTTGCTTTCTCATCAGAGGATTCAGTAGCCAATTCAACTGTGGATTCACAAATTAAGAAGGAATATCTTTTGGTTGAGAGGGACAAAATGAAGAAAGAATGAACATAAAATGAAAAAAGGTAAAAAAGACAGGAATAAACAGATAACAAACATTGCTAACCCTGTTTGGACCTGGCAAGTGCCTCTGCTACAGTCCTTGTGTCTCCTAACTCCAAATCTGCATTTGGGGCCATGAGCAAGAGATTACTAAACCCTTAATCTACAAAACACTTTAACTAAAGTAAAGTTCAAAAAAATGAAGTATAAATATAAAATAATGGAGGTTGAAAAAAGTGCAGTTTCTGTTGACAGAGAAATCACACTTCTCATCAACAAAAAGACTAAAGCAATTTTCCCACATTGACAAAGAGTACTCTCAGTACAGAGGAAAGGAAGAATCACAAGAGCACACTGAACCAGAAGAAAGAGAAACTCTCAAGAGTCAAGAACGCCAAAACAACGAAAACAAAAATCCTTCTGGAGAACTGAGCGGGAAAAAAGAGATCCTTGTGAGGCAACACTATAGGGGGGTTACTGAAGAAGAGAAGCTTCACAGAAAACCCCAATCTCAGAACTATCAAAACATTGAGCTTCATGGTGTTCAAAATTCAAATCAGCAGGACTCATAGGAATGAACCCTTGGAAGGCTACGTAAGGGCATCCAAACAGATCAAAAAGATAGATAAGGCCATCCAAGACCTTTTGCTCAGAAAATTAATAACAGAAGCATTTTTGAAAGAGGGAAAAAAATCTGACAAAAACAACAATTGCCATTCTGATAGAGGCCAAGCCCATGACCCCATGGACAGAACAGGAATTATGATGAAGCATCCAGAACCCAATTCTTAAATTCTATAAGCCATAGCAGCAAATGAATATCTACAAAGTAGTTTGATGATCCTCCCACCTGGATATCACAGAAAACCAACAAATGAATATTCATGATAGTACCAAGATGCACTATGGAAAGACCAGAAAATGAAGATCAAAGGTATATTGCTGACAAATACAAACAGGGTTCTTCACTCCTCAATGGATAAAAACAAGATACTTTCCTCACCATTCTGCAGATCATGATGACCTTGCAAAAGACCTAGGAGAATAGATTTAAGAGGAAAAAGATCCATAGGATTCAAGGGACCATATGGTACAGTTAACAGAGAAGAAATCATTGTCTAGAAGATTAATGCCAGAAAGAACAGCCAGAACTTTACACTCACTTGAGCTCTATGGCACCATTCTGCAGACCATGTTGACCTTGCACAAGACCTGAGAGAATAGATTTAGAGGAAAAACTATCCATAGGATTCAAGGGACCATATGATACAGTCAAAAGAGAAGAAATCATGGTTTAGAAGGCCAATGCCAGAAAATAACAATCAGAACTTTAAACTCACTTGAGTTTTATGGAAACCAAAGTCCCAATGCAAACACAAAGTGGATTGAGAAGCTGATATCTCAATAAATGGAAAAAGGACCCGAACAGAAAATATAGAAATACTAAAAGTATAGAGATGATGATGGCAGTAGTAGTAATAACTAAGCACATTACATGTGAAAATGAGGAAGAAAGTTTCTTAACAATCATTTTGATATAGCCAGAGATATGCAGAATTTTCTTCATCTCTGTCTGGGATGAGGGGTCAGTATTAAAGGATTCTTGTTTTGGCCTCATGTTGCTTTTGTGGACTCTGGTGCTGTTTATATTGGATAATAGTTTGCATTGCTACATTTTGGTGATTGTGCAAAGGAAAGATAGGAGAATCTTTGAAAATATTCAGTCAATTTCCAAGGCTTTGTACTGTCACTAATTCCTTCAGAATAGACAATTCACCTAAAGCTCTCCCTTCAAGAACAACTGCTGCATGCCGGTTAAGGTCTTGTGATAGAGTCCTCTTATATAATTCATACTCTGAATCCATAACCTCCTTGTTTCCATCACGAAAAATCCCATGATCCTGCATGTTAAAAACATGAGTAAAATAGGCAAAGAGGAGATGCAGAAACAAACTTGTAAGACAATTGAGAAAACCTAGTTCTTAATAACTACCAAAAGGAACTTTAGTATTCAAGCTAAGGAAACAATTTTTATGCAACAACAATATCCAAGAAAATAGAAAATGCCTTCAGGAGATAATTTATAACTAAAGGATCTGATTGAAACAGTATTTTTATGGGAAACAGTAACTTTCACTAATCTTACAGGAAAATTAGTAGAACTGTCACCTTCATAGGTAAGGTGACCCTCAAAATAAAAACAACTTACAAACACACCCAAAAAAGAATTTCACTACTAACTCCTTGATTTTCTAAGGTATCAGCCATTACATTTGCTGACCTCCTAGTTCATTTAAAATGTGGTTCAAGCTCCCATAGATTCAATATTTTCCTTACAGGCGGTCTAAGGGACCAAGTGCCCAAACTGTTTGTTTGCATACAGCCTACTACCAATTTGGAATCTCCCTCCACTTCTAACTGTTGAAAACCCAATTGTTTAGCCAACCTGAGCCCCTGAAGGAGCACCAAAACTTCTGCACTAAGTAAGTCACCCAATTCTATCGGGCTAGAGAAAAGGGCCAGAACTCTTCCTTCCACATTTCTAAAAACACCACCAATTCCAGTAGGGCCAGGATACCTACAGAGCTGCCATCAAAATTCAACTTCACACCAAAATGCAAAGGAGGGGACCAGTCCTCTTGAAAGGTAATATCTGAGCAGAAAGAGCTCACTACTGTGCTCCAACCTCTAAACTAAACAGATCATCTACAGAGAAGTCCTTGAAGAGATCCAACAATTTCAGCCAATGTATAGCCTTGATGGCTTTCCCTTCTATGAGTTCAAGTGCTGTCCTTTTTTTCCCTTGGAAAATCCTGTTATTTCTCTCTTCCCACACCACCCAAATAATTGTTGCCCTTGCTGATCTCCACATAACCCTTTCTCTTTTATTTGGTTGTTGGAAAAAGCTAGATTCAAAAAGATCTGCCACGCTTGTGGGAGGATTCCACCTGCGCCCAACAAGAAAGGAGAACTAATCCCAAATATGAGTAACAAAAGGACAGGAGATTAATAGATAATTTACCATCACACCACTCTTCAAGCAAAGGCTATAGACATGTGGGGATAAGCACCAATTTGGTTGAAGCACATTCAAAGTGTTAATTTTTTGGACAACCACTTTCCAACACAAGGTCACCTTTGGAGGTATAGGAGCACACCACACTTTTACAGGAAAAGAAGTATCAAAGTTAGAAGATTGCAACAAAGCATTGAAAAACAAAGAAAAAAAAAACACCCCCAGGAAGATTCTGACCAAATTATACTATCACGACAAGATTGGTCCAAAAACACTGAGTTTAGATTAGAAGAGAATAATTCATCTGCCAAGCCTACTTCTGAATCCCTTATGCCCCAATCCCATGACTCTCCAAACACACGAAAGGAAGAGAAACCATGGAAGAAAAAATAAAGTTTCTCCAAATTCCTATACTAGTGGCAATTTCATAATTTTGGGGTCATCCAACATTTGGTCGCTTTGAATTTTTTTAATGTTCTCTAGTTTATTTACATGATGGGAGACCAAATACAACGCAAGCATTAGTCTAGGAGGGTAACAATAGACCAATAAGGGTTTAGGAATGACTGTAGAACTAAAGGAACGGATCAGAAAGGTTTTCAGTTAAAATGCTGAGAATTGAAAATTCTCTAAGGAAACATGGAAAAATAGAAAATCCAAAAGCTAGTGTAGGGAGGGAATTTTTAATAAAGTATATGCTAATGTTGAAGTAAAAAAGCATTCTGAACAGTTTTCCACAAAAGGTCAAAAAATTCCCTTAATGAGAGAAATTGCCAAAACATAGTTGTCAAGGTGACACCTAGGCGACTAGGCGATTTTTAGAAGTCGCCTCGCCTAACGCAAGTGTTTTTTGTATTAGGCACTCATGCATATACACATTATATCATTTTTTGAATGCGTTTATATATATTGTATCATTTTATTGGTTGGTGGTTTTATTTTATTAGAATACACCATGTTGTATGTTACAACATTTTTATAAAGATAAATCTTTTTTTACTAAAGCTACGAAAGTTTCTTTGGGTTTGCATTCTGAACCGAGACTGAGAAGAGAGACGGAGGACTCAGTCCAAGTCATCCAAGACCTCCCGGTAAGTTTCTTCTTCTTCTTCTTCTTCTTCTTCTTCTTCTTCTTCTTCTTCTTCTTCTTCTTCTTAAACAGTCCAATTGTTCTGTGGTCCTTTTTTTTCTTACTTTTTTGGGATGAAACAGGGGCTCCGCCTGTTCAACCTCCCCCTCTCCCTCCTTCCTCAAATCAACCTGGTACTCCAGTATTTTATTTTCTATTTAATTTTTTTTTTAAAATAACTTTTGGAAACGAAACAGGGATTCCGCCCCCCTTCTTCTTCTTCTTAAACAGGGGCTGCGCCCCAACTTTCTAAAACTTTCCTGTATTTTTTTTTTTGCACTATTTTTTAGTAATGCTGCTTTTTAGACGAAATAGGAGCTCTGTCCCTTTATTTTTCTCTCCTTTTTCGCATCATTCTCCCTTTTTGTTAGCCTGAAACACGGCCTTCACCATCTTAAACACAGTTCGAGTCTCTTACTCCTATTTTTCTTTCTTGTTCCATGTCCCCTAACTCCTATGTTTTTTTTTTCTTTTTTAAGAAATATTTTTTGGGAACAAAATTGGGGCTCCACCCCCTTATTTTTCTCTTTTTTTTTGCTACATTCCTCATTTTTTGTTGGCCTGAAATAGGTATGATGTATATGATGGAATTTTATGTTTTATTTGAATGAATTTATTGCTAATAACCAGTATACGGTATGTTGGTTAGTATAACAAACTAAAGCAGTAGCTTAAGAAGGGTTTGGGATCTTTATTTTATACTTTCAAATTCCATCRCCTAGGCAGCCTAGGCAACTGAGCGCCCTGTGGTCGCCTAGGCGACTTGACAACTATGTGCCACAATTCCAAAAACTAGGGTTTTAGATAAAGCTTGAGATGAAATTGCTTAGCATGTAAGGTGATGAAGAACTATGGGAGGCAACCTATTAGCATTCTAACATAGTTTGGCACAAAAAGACAATAATTGAAATAATTGAAAGCTTTTCCAAACTAGGGGTTTTAGTGGGAATTATGAGTTGTTCTAATGGGATGAAAAGGGGCCTAACAATCAATGATGGGTTAACCAAACTTAGTTTTCACAAAGGTTTGACAGGGGTTATTTAGAGAAATGTCCCAATCTTGGGAGGAAGTGTGTAAAGGTTAAGAATTGAAGGAAATTGAAAGGAGGCTCAGGGATCAATTCAATCCTTATTTGAAGTTGAGTTGTAGTTTTTCATGGCTTTGATTCCAGCCTTTAATGGTCATTAGTGAATGAACCAAAGAAACTTGCAAGAAAACAAGAAAATAGATCAAAAGACAAAACCACGGAATTGGTGTTGGAGTTTCCTAGAATTATTCTAGGACGAAGGAATCACTCATCAAAAGTCACATAGCAGAAATAATTTCCAAATTTATTAGCTAAACTTTTGCAATTTTTTCACATATATAGTGTCTAGGGTCAATAGAACTCATTCCTGAACTCAGAAACTCAGAATTATGATTCTGCCATCAATGCTCTACACAAAAAAAATAAAATAAAAAACTAAACTACTTAACCAATGAATCTGAATTTCTTTATCAATACAATGACTCCAAAGTCCAAGTTCTAAACACAATTAAACTATAACTATTCAAATCAGACCAAGAGGCTGGGACAAACCACATACAATCTGTAAAGTGATCAAAATACCCCTACTATCAGAAAACATAGAAATACATAAAAGTCAAGAAAATTCCTGTTTTGATTTCTTTACTAGAGTTGTTTCAGGAGTCTTTATTTGAGTGTCCAATGGGTTACTATGAATTTACCTTAGTTCTAATGCAGTTAGGAGTTGTTTCTTGACAGTTTTCAGATCCAAATCAGAGTTTATAATGGAAGATCCAAGTATATAAAACGGACATCATAATGCTACCCAAGCACCCAAGCATTGAGAGCATGAAGCAATGATACCATTTAGACTAGGGAAAATTGGAAGTACTGCAAAGCACAAGTGGCCACAAAAGAAAATACTTAAGAAATAAAAGAACAAAGTTTATCAAAAAAAAAGAGAAATGAAAGAACAAAAAGTTTGGCATGTGTGATAGTAATGCTTGGCATTCTATGTAACCAATTCTTTTTACCATCTAATAAATTTAACTACTAATAATCCAAAAGATCCAAAAGAAAAATAAAATAACAAAAGTTAAAAAAAGTGAAAACCTGTAGAAAAAAAAAAAAAAAAAAAAAAGAGACTATGAAACATTAGTTACAGAAATGGTTTAAAAATAGAATGGCATATTTGGGAGAATAAGATATACCGGAAGATGCATGTAATCATCCCCTTGATCCGCTTCCATGTCCAGAGTTGGATCAACACGTCTGATCTGCAAACAGGAATTCCTCAAGAATAAATATGTAAATCAATTAATTGGTAAAGAATATAAGATGGAGTATAAGCAGTAGCCCTTTTGTTCCCTAGTAAGTAAAGAAAAAACTAGGAACGAACCAAAACTGCAGATCATGAAAAAAAAAACACCTTCCGCCGGGCTTCACTGGCCAATATGTCATCATGCTTTAAGAAAATAGCAAGCTCCTCATCTTCAGCAGCTTCTGCGGCAGCTGCAATGGAATTTTTTGTCCTGTGGAGATATTCAGCTCTACAGTATTTTGTCCAGAAATCCTTTTCTGTCATCTAAAATCCAGATAATTTATAATGTGTGAATTCAATCAAAAATTTGTCCAGAAATCCTTTCCACATAATGCTTGAACAAATGAAATATGAGCAAGGATCAAAATTTTGTCATGTATCAGCCCGTATCAGCTGATACGTATCGTATCGGAGCCTTCCCAATACACCCCTACAGGGGGTGTTTCGGGTCGGCAAGTGGTTCAGGGGGTAGACTGGCCTTAAACCAGCCCCTCTGAACCAGTTTAAAAAATTAAAACATAAAAAACAGTACCGATACAGGCCGATACGCCCTACCGGCGTATCGCCCTGTATCGATATTTTGAACCTTGGATAAGTGTAATTTTTTAATACCTTGTTTGGAACAAAATTCAAAAATGCCTGATGAACAGCTGGCTTTTCAGCAAAAATCTGAAAAATAATTACCATCACCAAATGTTAAACAGACGAAGAACACCAAATATATTTTCTGCTTAATCAAAATCAGACATTTGCAGTGTATAGAAGAAGCTGGATGCTTGGAAACAGCCTCTTTGTGTATCAGCAGGGATAAAGCTGCATAWATCTGTCCCTCCCCAGACCCCACATTGGCAGAAGCCTTGTGCACTAGGCTGCCCTTCGAAGAAACTAGATGTAATTCAATTAAAAAGAACACATTTCCAAATACCCTCATACCCACAAACATACACATGAACACCCCATTATACCTGATGAATGATCTCTGGAGTCAAGCTAAATGTAACCTTGTTGGTCTGAAAACAGAACATAAGCATTGAAAATATTAGAGCCTCTATGAAAAGCAACAATATAGGGAGCATAAATAGAAATAAAAGTGAACTTTACAAATGAACAATAAATTCCACAAGTTACAATTCAAATGCAATAGTTATCAGAGCAGGATATGAAAGTAAAATCTCTTTGCAGCAACAAGAATTACTTTAACTTAAAAGGCTTAATTTTTTATTTGACAGAGAGAGAGGGGGAGGATGAGGTTTCATGTTGTACCCGACCATCAGTCAATGGCCTAACATCTGCAAGCATGGCACTTTTGAATCCCACTCGTTGTTTCGATGTCCGGGCATCTGTATCAAGCAACTTCTGCATTTAAAAGGCAAAAATATGAAACTTCATTGTTTGACAACCCTGAGCTATACTAACAGGTAAAAGAATAAAATTTAGGGAGATWGTGMTTTTGTCAAAAAGTAAATAGGCAGAAGATACTTGAGTATAAGAAAAGTTCAAAGTTTGTAAGTAATAAACGATATAAAACAGATAGAAACCAGAAAATAAATCACAGCTTTACAAGCAACAGACCTTTCTTGTAGCCCAGAATTCACTTTCTGTCAAAACACCAGCAATGACAAATTGCTTATGTAGTTTCTGCAACTCACTGCAAAGGATGCCTTCTAGTTCCATTAAGTAGAAAATTAAAGAAACAAATAGAATGTAAAAGAAGAGGAAGAAAAAAAAAGCTAAGAAGAAAGCTCCATAAAAACTGCTGAGATTTGGTTGTAACAGCAAAGCTACATCTATTTTCAGAACAGATAATTGCCAATACAATACATATTGTATCATTTTCATACCACAATAACATGAGAGCAATGGCACTGAACAAAAATGGAATGGTGAAACAGGATTCATGTGGCCAACCCTATTAGATGATGATATGATGACGAGTAATATGTAAACAATACCTTTTTATATGTAATACCTATTATTGATAAAACAAATGGCATTATAAAAATAAGAAGTATATTATAAAAATTAGAAAAAGTATGTAGGCCCACAAGTATTGGATTCCGACAGTCATACCTGTGCCCGTGTAACACTACTATTTAAACTTGTCATATTTGGCATATGTGATCATTTTTAATAACTGAAAAAAATGGGACCAAATCTCATAGGTCACATTATAATGTATCAGTAAATACTTGCTGATTCTGCCTCCAACAACAAAGGATACACTTTAGAAAGAGTAACTGGTTGTAATGTATTAAAAAACATAGGAGAATACATGACAAAATGTACAAAGGAAGCAGACCACACACAGGTTACAAATGCATAACTCTATCACTATACAAGCTTTCCCGGTGTACACCAGATTTGGCTAAGCTATCTGCTACTGAATTTAACTCTGGGAATCCAGAGTAGCATTGCATTCAAGGATTCCAACATATCTCTTGCCTTGTCCAAGTAGTGAGACAATCTCCAAGGCCCGCTTTCCTTCTCACTTAGTCACTTTATCGTGTTAATAAAATCAACTTTGATTATTAGATTATTTGAGCCTAGATCTCTTGTGATACAGAGACCAGTTAGTACAGCTAAAATTTCAGCCATTGATGAATCAGCAGTCCCAATATGTCCACTAAAGACCCACAAAGGGCCCCCATCCTTCCTCTTAAACATATTACTAATTCCTGTTGTTCCCAGGTTTCCAAGGGCACTTTCATCTCTTAACATAGTTCGAAAAATAGAGAAAGAGAATTGAATAGGGTGTGTTAAGTGATCAGACACCCAAAAGAATTATCTTAATATATGTTTGTTGTACAAAAATAAGTCGAGACTGGGTGAGGTACCACTAATAAGGATATTTGACCATACAACTTCGTACTCTGGTCTAGATACATTAAGAAATGCATTATATTTCTCCTGTCAAAGTGTTCTTTCATGGCCTTAATGCAGCAAGAAGAAGTTGAGTCACCCATATGGACCAGCTCATGCTCTGTCCATAAGTTCACAAAACCAGCTAAGTATTCTTGCATTTTCTTTTCAACCAGACAGTAGTAAAATATTTCCATCTCACCCTGGGTGTTTTCTCTTACTCCTTTTCTTTCTCCTTCCTCATTTACTCTTTACACGTCTCTCCTTTTTCTCTCTCTTTATCTAGAGGTTGAACTCCTAAACACTCTTGAAAGTGTTGAGCTTTCTTATAAACATTTCTTCCAAAGGGGGGTTGTAGCCTCTCTGCGAGGAGATTAAATAAGGTTTGTGGYGGTTATGTAACCCTCCTCTTTTAAGTGAACGACACCAGGACTCCCATCCAATGAGAGGGAGAGCCAGGCATGGGACACTCTTTTAATGGCTTAAATGGGCTTTATTTAGCTCATTGGCCTTCTTTTAGGTTCCAATCCACTTAATTAGGTTTTAAATGGGCTTTAAATAACTGGATTGCATGAGCTTATAATTTTTTCATTGGTAATTGCATGGGCTTATAATTAATCCCATTCTCTTTATTAAAGAAAAGTTAAGATACATTTGAAAGCATYTTATTAGAAATTTCAATATCAACAGTCATGAAGATGTAAAAAGGTGATCCATGTGGATAAGTTCATGTCAACACTATGTTCAAATCCAGCTAATCTACCAAAGGGGAAAATATATGGCTAAGAGGTATTTAATTGGCATGTGGTATTGCATGACACCCCGAGGCAGAAATAAATTTAAACTTGCACTTTGCCGATATTAATCATAAGTGATAAACAGAAGTAAGTTAAATTATATCCTAACACAAGAACAAATCAACTTATATTTATCAAAAAGAGAGAACAAATCAACTTATCAATCACTACTAACTAAGCATACCAGTCCTCTTGAAACATAATATGGATTTATCACAGCCAGTAAAATACCTATCCTCCCGCAACAGCTTCATTCGATGCTCCATCTCTCTTGTACTTAGTTGTTCATCATGAACTGCAACTGCAGATCTTTCAGAAACTGCTCTGGCATCCTGTCCAGATGATACCATAGACTGGATCTTCCCCAGGACTTTACCTGTTCAATGGGCACCATACAATAGATCTACAGATGAACCATTTCCACCAACATTTATTAAGATAMAAATGAAAGAATAGTCTAAGAAAAATATTCTAGAGGTAACCACCAAAAACTATAGATTTTTCCTTGGTTATATTACCAAAAAGAGTATAAGTTACATGACAAAATGGGATTGTCATACTTTGTCAAAGTGTATTAAATTAAGATGCAGATAGTCCAAGGCCCTTAGGTTCTCATTACAAGATTTCTCCAGCCCAAGACATGGAAAACAGCTCTCTAAATTAGATGAGTGAATGAAATCAAACCGTATATAAGCTAGGAGATGTTTGACATGGAGTGTCTTTTAACATCTGTAGAAGGATCATAAGCTAGAATAAATTCCCATGGTATATAATATTTTCCTTCTTTTCCAGTTTCAGCAAGGTGTCTTTTCATAGGTAAAAGATGGCATTTGTATTAAGGATATAACCGGCTCAAAATCATAACAGCACCCGTGTACCCAAGACACTATGCAATGGGAATATACAGGCATTGAAAAATACAATCATCTGCTTCTGTTGATAACTGATAAATAAAATCAAAAAACAAACTATAGATAACACCTCTAAATTCTTTACCTGCCCACATCAATGAATGCATCACACCTTGGTCATCCACAGAACCATATCAGTATTGCTAATCTTCTATTCAAAGCTATGATACTGGGATACCTGTACAAGGGTTTCATATCATGTCAAATACTTCAATTTTTAGTGTAAACTTCATATCTGATACACATCCATCCGTATCCTTGCTGCATCCAAGTAGCATAGGTTCAAAGATATAAGGATTCCTTTCACCACATATGGCCTTAAAACAGCTAAGGTTACCATGTCCCAAACAACTGTGCTCCTTTTGTACAACCCCTGCACCACCGGCCCTCTTCATAAAGTCTTCAACCAATCCTGGAAAGCATCTTTATACCTCAAAGAACCCCAGAAAGCAGGCCTAAACCTTAGCAGTCTATTAGCAATGCAGAAAAATGTGATTTACCAAACACGCATGTATGACAGAGCACACAATCAGCACTATCAATGGCCATACCTCTCTAAATGAGGTAATCTGCCACAAAGCATTTCTTAGGGTGGTTGTCGACCTAAAAGGTGAACCTTCTACAGTGTACTTGAACACCAAATATTATACCAGGGAAATGTGCCTTCCTACTGTTCTATTTATCCTGTTTTTCTTTTTTTTTATCAATAACTGTAAACTTTCATTTATTAAACAGAAAAATTACAAGAAGAGGAGAGGTAACCTTTGTTTTGCAAGCACAAAATAATTGACTGAATCCAAAATAATTGACTTCTCCCCACCCCTTGTTTTGCAAGCACATCAGCAAAAACATTAGCCAGATCATTTGGCGCATTTAACTTTCACGTCCATATTCTGTGTCAGTCATTTGAACTTCTTCCTTTCGCAGCCAATCCACCACCAGCTTTGAATCACTTTCTATTATCAATTTGCTCAAAATCATCTCTTTTGCCTTCCACAGTCCCCCCATAACCGCCAGAATCTCAGCCCTCAAAGAATTGCCCACCCCTATTGGACCAGAGTATAGACTAATTACTTTCCCTTCACCAGTTCTGAACATACCTCCGATACCTGAAGGGCCTGGGTTTCCAGCACTACTCCTGTCAAAATGCAACTTAATATAGTCATTGGCTGGAGGAACCCAAAGGGGGCCTTATGACACTCTGAGTCAGCAAAGATCTCCAAGGACTTCACCCAGTAGACCACTCTAACCATAATAACCTCTATAATTAACTCTTTGCTTCTTTCTTCATCTAAAAAGATTCTTGAGTTCCTCTCCTCCCAAACCGCAGCCCTTACGCACTTCCACAACATTTTTCCCCCTTTTTAGGCCACCTAAAGAACCCCTTCTAAGACCCAAATCCCCGTTAAACCTAGTTCTTGAGCTAGAGGGAACAAGAAAGGTAGAAACCAACTCATCTTTGTATCTTAATAGAGCAAACAAAGAGAAAAATTTGTCTTCCAAAGGAAGGTTGCCCACCCACAGTTGTACCCTGAATTTTATATGGTTCCTAGAACAAAGATCATACCTGATATATGGAAAAAAAGAAGGCAAGACAGCATGGATGGCCTTCCAAGGGAAAGTTCTAGTAGCCCTAGTTAGTATACCAGCATCCCAACCATTAGCCACAAGCCCATGTATGCTTACCACCACTTTAGCTCAAAGCTGTCTCTATCCACAAGTAATCTCCACAACCATTTCCCCAATAATGCTTCATTCCATTTTAGCGAATTACCTAGACCTAGACCACCAACATCCTTATTCCTATAAACAACATCCAACTGACTCTATGCTCCCTTTCTCCTTCCCTGGCTCCCACAAAAAGCCCCTCATCAGCTTTTCCAATATTCTTCCCACACTCATTGGCATCTCGAACACAAACATGTAATACATAGGTAAATTAGCTAGAGTGGATCTTATCAAAGTAATCCTTCTTCCTAGAGACAGGTAACCTTTTTTCCAAGAGGCAAGTCTTTTCTCAAACCTCTGTACAATTGGATCCCAATAGCAACTCTTCCTTGGATTGCCCCCAGTGGAAGGCCCAAGTATTTCAAGGCCATTGACCCACAGTAGAGCTCTTCTCAAAATTCACTTTAAGGTTCAAGATCCGCTCAAATAGTAGCACTGTTAGCATAATCCTTGGGTGTGACCGGCACCCCATCATGAACAACTTTCCATCCCCTAACTAAACCTTGTGAATCCACCTTGCCAATCAACTTTCCTATGACTTCCACACTATTCTATTTATCATGTTGTAGAAGTATCAAACATAATATCCCTGATTTTCCCAAGCCTACCCCCTTTTATCTTCTATACTTGGTCTAGATGATACCTTTCTCTGATAGGTAATTATTATAAACATTTTATCGATTTGTAGAAAAGAATATAAGTTTATATAGATTTTGGTAGACTATGTTACCATGGCTAGTTCCATAATTGTTATATACAATCCTAGGAATCTAGGTYCCTAGTAGTGACCCCAAAAAAAAAACTCTTGTCACTGACCAGATTCGACACTGTCCCTTTACCCTCATTTTCTACATCAACCTCCACCTCTTTCCTGACCAACTCCTCCTTCCCAATACTCTCTTCCAGATAACCTCCCCTGTGCTTGAGCTCCTCAACATCCAGACAAATCAATCACCAATTCTTTCCATCAGCTCTTCCAAACCCTCTCTAAATTCAAACTCAGCCTTTTCTTTTTCCTTTTTCTCCTCTAAGGAACCTCTAGCTCCCCTTTGGTTTATCACCACCTCCTTCTAGATGAGATGCTAGGGTATTATCTGCAAAAGGCTCAGCACACAAGTCAGTACCTAAAACTGAAAGGGCACACATACCTGTGTGTCGAGAAGACGAGGGAGGATTGGATGAGGCTTGGAGTTGAGACTTTATGTCTAAGGCCAAGTGTTTCCCCTTGATCAAACATTGCAGTGGGGTGTTGGGATTAGATTAACAACCCCTTCTAATCTCATCATAATAGGACCCTATCCCTGTATCTCCCTTTCCAGCCTACCTCCACAGATTACATGAGAGTCTTGCCTCTCTATACCAATCCCCATACGACACTACTCTATTGGATTAGCTCCCTTGACATTGGGGGTGTCATTTGCACAGCATCAGCAGCCGTTGTTTTAACCCTGCAATCCTCCTTGGCTTTGCCAACAACTACCTTGTCTTCCACTAGGAACAGAAGTTTTGTTTTGAAGCTATCTTCTTCCAACATATCCACGTTTGTTTGCAAATCAACACTACCCAAGCTTACCGTGTCAGCCAGGTTTGAAATTCACTAGCGTCATCATCATCAGACCATTCTCAATCTTGTAAGAAATCGAGATCTTTTCCTTTAACACACCTGGTATTTCGTCTATAAGGTGAGATCACCTTGAATTTCTTTGCAGGGATCCATTGTAAGGAGCAGTTGGAGAGAGCTCTCACACCTGAGTAGCAGCAACTAATGGAGGAACTCGAAGCAGACGATGATAGACGGTTCTTTCCATCTATCAGAGTTATTCCCCTTCTGATCACATGAATATTAAGTGACTCATGTGCCTCCCCTATGATTGCTTCAAAAGAGCTATCATGGGCCTCCTTTATGCCTTCGTCCCTCAGCCCAACTTAAAGGTCATGAAAAATGGGCTTTTGTTCTTTTGTCAGCCCATTGGTCCTATCTTGAACCATCACCTCCTCTGTGTTTAAACCTGATACATAGGAACCAGCTACCACCTGCACAAAGGCCCAGCCACCCGCCAGTCTGTTTTCATTACCTACATGTATAAGAAATTCCTCTTGTTCTCTATCTTTTGGTATCCCCAACATCTATATTCCCATTTTAGTGCAAGTTTTATTCTTGCTTGAACCATCCAATCCCTTAGTGCCATGCAGCTCTTCTTCTTCAACCTTCAGGTCTCCCTCCCTGCAAGCCTCTTTTCAAAGCAAAGCTTCAAAGGATGAAGCCAACCAGACTAATATAAACTACCCTTCCACTCTCATCTCTACCTTCCATGGTATCTCCTCTGGCTTCACTCCACTTGGTCAGATAGCTGCAACTGCAAAGTGGAGGTGGTAAGAACTGCCCACCATAGGAGCTGCTTCGAGGGAGCCCTACCTACTAGAGAAAAGAAGAGAGAGTAATCTAATCTGCCCATCTCATTACTTAGCCTGGTTTATATAGGTTTTCACATCAAAGGCACATGGGAAAATTAGAGATATCATAACTAACTCATTTGCTGTGGCCTTCTAATGCATACATGCTGGATGGGTGGCTTTGGGCCTTTGGCAGTATTAGGCTTGGAGCTAACATAGTGCACCTGAGTCCTCTAGGCTGGTTGAACCTTATCAAGTCTCCCCAGTAAGCACCATCAAGTGTCCCTCCAAATATCTGTGCAATAGATTCAGAAATGTCTTGCTTCGACAGGTGAAAAAGGCA